CCCCAAAACCCCAAAACCCCAAAACCCCAAAACCCCGTAACTGGCAAAAGTAGTTGAAATAACCAGAATATCGGATATATAAAGAATTTTAAGAAGAAGATATTAGATAATTAATTATGAAAGCATCACCAACCAAAGAGACCACTCTTAAAGTAAAAGTTCCCTCTGTATTGAAGCCAAAGCAAGCAGCTCTAGTAGGAGGACTCGCTGGAGCCCTCGAAATCACTGCTTCATATCCAGTGGAGTTCACCAAAGTTATTATGCAATTATACCCAAAATTTAACAGCATGGGAGCCCTGAACACCTTTAAGTACACAGTAAGAAAGGACGGATTGTTCGCTCCTTACAAAGGATACAATCTTTTGCTGACTGCCTGTATCCCTAAGGCATACATGAGATTCGGAATCTTCGAGTATCTGAAGCAAAACATCTTCACATCTCCCACTGTGGCTAATCTGACTATTTGCGGAGCAATAGCTGGAAGTCTTGAAGGACTTTTTATCACAACTCCAGCTGAAAACTTGAAAGTGAAGTTGATTCATGATAGATTCAGGCCTAACCCCAAATTCAGGAACATGTTCCACGGAGTCTACAAAGTAGCTCAAGAGCACGGATTAAAAGGAGTGACTGCTGGAGCTGGCATTACCATGTTTAAGGAGTGCTCAAATAATGCTATCAGATTTCCACTATTCGTTGGTCTACAGAACGTTTTCAGCCCATATTTCAACAATAATCTGGTCAGAGACTTGGTAGCTGGATCTTTGGCCGGAATATGTGTGGTACTCCTGAATCAACCAGTCGATGTCGTCAAGACCAATCTGCAAGGACTCAATGCTACAAGGTACAATGGTGCCTTGGACTGTGGACGGAAAATATTGATGACTGAGGGAGCTTTAGGGCTCTATAAAGGGATCAGACCCAGAATGGTCCGTGTGGCCATGGAGACTAGTGTCACCTTTGCATCTTTCAACGCCATAAAATCGATGGTGCTCAAGTATCTTGATGCTGAAGACTAATTTAAAGCCTAGCGGCTCTTTTCAAATCATTTAAAAAGACTTTGTATATTAATTTTATTTGAAATTTATTCTTCCGAAGGTAGGAGTATCTTTTTATAAGGTTTTATCTGTCCTTGGCTGGTTGAAAGGTGGAGTCATACTTCCTATAGACAGGGATTCACTCAGATGTCCTCACACGCGAGGAAAGTGCACAGATGCAACCTAAAACCATCTTGTTCACTTTCACCTAAAAAGTGAACGAAAAGTGGTTGCAATTATCGACGTCCAATTAAAGTATTTTATCCGTAAAATCTTATCTCAAGCTCATTATGTAACAGTGGGGTTTTGGGGTTTTGGGGTTTTGGGGTTTTGGGG